GTTCATTGTGTTTTACCTCAGCACTAATTCCAGTATTCTAGTTTTGATTCATTTCTAGGTTTGCATGTGTATATACAGTCACTAAGCTCCTTATTTCATTCATCTTTCTGTCAAGATCCAAGTTTTGCCCCTGTGGTGTAATGCCTATCTGATCATTGTTTGATACTTGAACTTGTCTAAAGTCTAGAAAGGGAAATTCAAGTTTATATTTCTGTTTGTGGAGAGGCTGATGTGCCTCTGATTCCTGACAGAGGGGTTTGAGTGTGCCAGTCCTCAGGGGAATGGTGATGCTGTGAGGAGAGGAGCAGATCTGGTTCCAGTAGAAAACCTGGGTTGAAGAGAAGGGCACAGAGAAAGACAAAATAATTCTGTAATCTAGGAAGGTCTGTCCACCTTCAAAAATGGGGGTTGTGTTTCCCCTTTTCCAGTCAGTGGGAACAGTGTAACAAGCCACACTCCCTGTGATCTCACAGGGCTGCTTCAGGAGGCAGCAGGACTATTTGCACTACAGATCTTTTGTCTAAGAGCCAAGTGGGGTTTCAGCAGCCTTATGGGTACTCCCTGGCCCCTTTCAAGAAGAGAAATCCCAAAACAGGACCCTCATTTGCTGCTGACGGTTTTTCAGTCACCATCTGTCTTACTGTTGGGTCCAGTGGAAAGCCTTAATAGTATGAAAAGCTGAAAATCTTAACTGAAAGCTTTCCTGGTTTCTCCCAACCCACTCTGAGTTGTGCTAGATCTGAAGCAATCCCCCTGAAATACAAAAGGAAAGTAATCCATCTGACTAGATTACCTCCTTCCCTGTTAGGTAGAAAATGATTTTTCAGAAAATCTTGTATTGGATACATATCCAGTTTATGCACTTTAGTTACCCTAATTTTTAAGCAAAAGCTATCTTGGCTGAATGCTTTCTAAAATAATGTAATGGAAAGTCAGAGAGATCAAATACCAGACATGCTGCTGGTCCTGCTACCTTTACCCAACTCTTTATCTGTCTGTCTCTTTACCTGTAGTGTAGCATTATCAGAGTAGTGTGAATCCTGCTGTGAACCTCCTTCTAATTGCTAAGCTGGAATTTCAAGGCAGGAGAGAGGTGAGCTTCTCTCCTTCAGAGGTAAGCCTGTGAAACCTGGGTCTAGACAACTGAAGGAGAACGTGACTGCAGGGATACATGGGCTGCTTTAAAATGAATGGATTTATTACACAATTCTGCTAGTTTGGAGACATTTGCCTTTATCTAACACCACTATACATGTGTGTGTATATATAGAGATATATATATATATGTATAAATGGGAAAATGTTTATCTTCTGTGTGCTGTTTAGAAATTCTCAGTCAAACAGAAGTACTTAAGATTAAGACCTTAATATTTAATAAGCTCTCAATTGTTAGAGAGCGGTGAGCCTGCCAGTGTGAGATTGGGCTGGCAGCTCAGTGGATTAATGGAAACATAGAGCTCAATTTAAAAGCCCTGAATGATAATCTTTAAATATGCTTAGGCATTGTGGTTGTGCAGTTTCCCTGGGGAATCATCATATTCTCTGCTTCAAAAATTTCACTGAAGACTTAACTGAAACTACAGCTCAACTTTGCCTATTGGGAAATCTACTTTCATTCCCGAGGCTTAAATTCCTTCTGTGTGCATCTGTACACCCAGAGTGTGATTCCTTGTGGGTTTTCATTTATTATGTTTTTGCCACAGGAACAATTTTACACAGACTTGAAAAACAAAAATTGCAGAGTTGAGCAACTTTTCTACCTGAACAGAGATCTTGCTTAGGCTTTCAAACAAGCAAATGTTGCTATTTGAAAATACTCAAGTGAAAATTCTGTTGATGCTTGTGATATGTGATCTCAATAAGGTAGGCAGAGAAAATATGTTTTTTTTTTTAAACTCCTGTATGTGAAATTCTGTGGTGCTTTGGGTTCATGTAACCCATTTCAATAGTACTTCATTCTCTGATAGAGATCTGAGAAGTCCCACTGCAATGATAGTGTAGACACAATGTGATGCATTCTGGGATGTCTTCAGACAAATTGAAAGGCTTGAGAATTATAGGAGATTGCTTTTTCTTATTTATATAAGAACTTGCCAGTCTGAAAGGTGCCTAGATTTGGAGTTGCTTTAGTTGTGTATACATTTCTGGGGATTATCTCGATTTCAATTTAATTTGCCATTTCACTTCATGCTATAAAGCTCTCAGGGAATCTTTAATTTCAGTGAAAGCTCACTAAATTAAAATGAAAATGAAATGAGCTTGCATCATCAGCACTGAGAATGGCAGTGTTATCCTGAATTTCTATTAATACTTCACCAGAGCTGCTTGTGCCCAAAAGGCACCAGGGTACTCAAGCTGTGTTCAGAAGTGATTGTGTAGCTGAACACCCTTGCCTTCTGTGTAATTGCACTGATGTCAAGAAAGCTTTTTCACTTGCAGGACACTGTGCCCCATGTGGCCAGTGACAGATCAGATGTGCATGCTGAGTTCTTTTAAATCATAGAATCAGTATGGTTTGGATTGGAAAGGACTTTGAAGATTATCCAGTTCCAACCCCACCAGCCCTGGGCCAGGGACACCTTCCACTAGACCAGGTTGCTCAAAGACCCATCCAACCTGGCCTTGAACACTTCCAGGGTTGGGGCATCCATAACTTCTCTGGACAACATGTTCCAGTGCCTCACCACCCTCACAGTAAAGAATTTCTTTCTATACCTATTTCTTCTCCAGGCTGAATAACCCCAACTCTCTCAGCCTGTACTCATAGGACCTGCTCTGGCAGGTCCACATCCTTCTTATGTCCCAGAAGTCCCAGACCTGGAAGTAGTAAGGCAGGTGGGATCTCACCAGAGTGGAGTAGGAGGGAGCGAATCACCTCCCTTGACTTGCTGCTTTTTTTTCTGGGCTGTAAGCATACATTGCCAGGTCCTGTTGAGCTTCTCCTCGACCAATCTGAAGTCCTTCTCCTCAGGCTGCTCTCGGTCCTCTATTTGTATTTGCTCAGCCCATATTTGTGCTTGGGATCTCCCTGACTCAGGTGCAGGACGTTGCACTTCACCTTGTTGAACTTCATGAGGTTTGCATAGGCCCACCTCTCAAGCCTGTCCAGGTCCCTCAGGATGACACCCCTTCCCTCCAGCAACTGCACCACACAGCTTGGTGTCATCGGCAAACTTCCTGAGGGTGCACTTGATCCCACTGTCCAAGTCAGTGACACAGATGTTAAACAGTGCCGGTCCTAACAGTCCCCCTGGACGCCCAAGGAACACCACTCATCACTGATCTCCTCATGGACTCTCAGCTGTTTGACCACAATTCTTTGAGAGTGACCATCCAACCAATTCCTTGTCCACCCAGCAGTCCTTCCATTAAACCAGGGTCTCTCCAGTTTAGAGACAAAGGTTGTTATGCAGGACAGTGTCAAATGCTTTGTACAAGTCCAGACAGATGATGTCAGTTACTCTTTCCTTATCCACCTCTGTAACCCCATCATAAAAGGCCACCGGATTTTTTAGGCATGATTTGCCCTTAGCGAAGCCATGTCCCAAATCACCTCCTTATTTTCCGTGTGCCTTAGCATATTTTCCAGGAGGATCTGCTCCATGATTTTGCCAAGCACTGAGGTGAGACTGACCGGCCTGGAGTTCTCCAGGTCTTCCATTTTTCCGTTTATAAAAATGGGGGTTATGTTTCCCCTTTTCAGTCAGCAGGAGCTTCACTGCACTGCCATGACTTCTCAAATATGACTGAAAGTGGCTCAGCCACTTCAGCCACCAGTTCCCTCAGGACCCACGAATATACCTCATCATGTCATGGACCTCAGCATTTTTCAGTAATGTTTAAATTATATATAAATTCAGTGCCACTGCTCCCTGGACTGATCTCCTGCAAGGCTGGAAAAACTGAAGTTGGAGGACGTAAGAGAAATCAGTGTCTGTACCTCTTGTAAGTGTTCATCCTCTGAATATTACAGTGTCCTTCAGTACCTTAGTGACCTTGCTGCACCTAGGAGGGGAATAGGTGGGGTTGCAAACTGAAGAGCACAGGAAAGCAGGCCGTATGAAAGCAGGGTCAAGGAGAAAATGGTAAACAAAATGGCACTGAACATTTCTCTTTGACCTTGTGTATGCTAGATGCGGTTGGTGACTTTCACCTTCTCCTGGTGACAGTGTCAGCTTCAGTAACTCTCCTAGAAAGTTGCCTATGTGAATGCTGGGGGTGGTAAGATGAAAACTTTATAAAAGGATAGACTGAGTGGCCCTAGCAGCAGTACCAGTGGGGCATATTGTTTTTGTCATACAGATCTGAATCACAGCGTGCTACAGAGAAGGACTGCTTTAGTCCTACAACTGAGAGAACAACTATCTACACAAGACTCACCCCCCCAAATCTGCTAAACCACAAGGACTCAGCAGAATAGTTTGAAGAGAGACTTTGAACATGCTGCAGCCCTGATTCTGTTCTGGGAGAGCTTTTCTGAAAGAATAGTGTCTGTTCTGAATAAGCTGACCACGTATTTCATAGGATACTGCTGTATTTTTGTACCTTACAGTGGGGAAAAACAGTCTGCTCAGGTTTCTTGTCCATTTTCAACCTTCTCCCTTAATTTTCATTTAAGTTTTTTCACATCTGTCATTTTTATTTTCCCTTTTCTTCCTCACCTTTCCTGGTGCAGACATTTGGATAAACTGGAGTCCTGTGTGATCCATAGCAAAGATTGCTTGCATTGGAGTATTCTAGTACTGAGAAGAACATACAAAGATTCTTTGAATGTACATTAACTTCTGATTGCATCAGGAACAAGGGAGTGTGATTTGCAGCAAGCTTTTAATTGTGCCAGTTTTTCATGTGATAATTCTTCTTTTAAACCTGTGAGCACTTATTTCAAAGGACCTTTTGATAATGAAGATTGTTTTGTGTCAGGGTAACCAACTGTGGTGCACAGTTAGGAATAAGAAGGTGTTTAATAGGGAAGAACTTCAATGCACGGACTTCACAGGGAGATTTAAAACTTCAATTTTTATTAGCACCAAATACCAAGCAAGTTCCATGACAACAAGCTGTACTTCCAAGCTGGTGAGTTATTTTGTTTAGGGAAAGGGAGTTAGTAATTATATGACACATCAATTCAGTCAATGTACTCTCTTGTGGTTGCATATGCAAATCCATAATTCCTTCAGTTGTGCACAGGTCTGAGTTCACAATTTCTGTCTTTCCCCCAAAAGTAGGAGTGTTTTCAATCATGAGGGTTTGAGGCAACTCTGTTCTTGAGAGACCAAGTAGCATAACTTAGCTGCTCAGCAGGAGAATAGTCAAAGCACCTCTGGCTTCTAGGGGGAAATAGTACTGTTTCTAATATACTTGTGTGTCCAGTTCCTGCAGCTGAGCTTACAGTGTGAAGAATTTACCCAAACAGCTTCACTTGCACCTCCATGCAGCCTCTCTATTCAACTAATGCCAACATGACTTTCAAATGAAATTAATACAGCTGCAAAGACAGTGGCCATTGGTGGGGAGGGAGGAGGGTTGTGTGGTGCTCTGAGGATTACAAAGAAGCTTTTGGTGACTTTGACTGTGACAAGAGATCTGGTATAGGCTTATAGAGTGAGAGGTGGGGTTCCAAAAAAGCACTAGAATCAGCACCATGGAGAAGTGCTCTTTTCCTGGAGTACTTGCAAATGCTTCATTCTAATTGCGTTTGTAAACAGATTTAACTCCCTTGCGGGAAGGATGGTTCTGTTCCTTGAGAAATGAGAGCCTGAAAATGGGAGAACTGAGAACACCTCCCCCACCCCCCTTTTTTTTCTTTCTTTTTTTTCTTTTGTAGAATTTACCTTGGATAGTTGGGCTGCCACAGTACAAACTGTGGGGATGCATATGCTGCTCCACTCACCTCAACAGCGTATGGATGCAGGTGAACATTTCAAAAGAACAGCAAAGACATAATTTCTAACATGAGGTATTTTTTAACTCGATATTCTGGATGCTTATTATTCAAACTGAGATATAATATCAGAATCTGTTCATTGCATCTGTGGTTGATACAGTAACACTGAACAAGTTTCCAAGGTAAACTGGGTTAAAAGAAAGAAACAAAAAGGAAAAAAAGCATCCCTGCAGCATTAGTTTCTCTGGAGAATGCTAAGCAGCTAGTGACAGTTCTGCTTGATAACAGTGCTCATCTGGCCACTTGCAGGCTTGCATCAAGGAACTGAGGATATTAAAAGCAATTCAGATTGTCACTACTTAGGCTATAACTAGGCTGCATGAATTACTTGGTTACAGTGCTTATTTTACTATGTTGTGTAGGGACTATGGTCTCCTAAGTCAATATCAAACCTGAACTTCATAAAGCCATGTAAGATGTCTATCATTGGACACTAAAATTTATACAATACAAATAATTGAATCCTCTCCACATTTGACAGACTGGGACCTTGATTGATAAGGTATAGTAGAGGTGGAAGGGCTGAAGCAGCGATGGCCTTAAGCTTTAGGGCCAAGGAAAGGTATTTGTGGAATAGGGACATGATGAGGTGCATCTGTACAGACTTTTAAGAAACCAGGTCCTGAAATCCCTTTGTTTCTACAGTAATTTTTAGTTAATCGTTAGGATGAATGCTTTACACCTGAAACTCTTTTGCTGTCCATATGAGACATAAACACATAAGGAGTACACATTGGCAGTTGTTTTTTTATGCTGTAGTTTTCTATAGATTTTTGTTTTCTATAGATTTAATTATTTACAGTTATGTTTTATTTTGTTGGCTGTGATTTGAACTGTATTCTGTAATAGCAGAATTATATTCTATAATAGGAATATAGGGGGAAGTTTATAGTGCATAATTATCCCATCCTTTCAAATTATTCTTTTAACCACAACTAGAGGGAAGTTGCTGTTAAGCAATTCTAAAGTAACAAAATGTTCTACATAAACTGTTTCTGCATAAAAGATACCAGTGAGTTGTTTGAGAAACCCATTTAACTGATCAGCCATTTCTTCATTAAAAACCATGCAATGCAAGATGACTTATAGGCCATCTATTTAGTTGTCTAACACACACTGGTGTAGATTTGGTAGTAAATGCTTTCTGGCTGTTGGAGGGAAGAATATAAACTAGGCTGTTCTTGCGGAACAACAAAACCCAGGATTTCTAATGAATATACAGTATTTCCATGGGGAAACAGTTTATTGTGGGGGTAGGAGGGAAGCAAGGGCTAGGGTAAAATGACCTATGTAGGCAACTGATGGGATTTCAGAAAAACAGTCTTTCAAATGGCATTTGCTAGGTGAGTTAGTAATGACCAATTCCTTATTTGTTTGGGGTTTTAACATATGGCAGGTAAGAAACACAGGGCTCTGCATTTGAACTTTTGATGTGTCAAGACAAAACTTTGGATGAGATTTCATAGGCTGTCCTTAAGTCTCTTTGAAAATTATCACCATGCAGACAGAAACTACTTTGTATTACACAGCCAGTCTAATCAGCTAAGCCCGATATTCCCAGGTTATGTTAAGTGTACTTGAGGAAAAATAGCAGGATGTCAGGTGAAATACTAGTCTAGTTGTTGATTTAAGTAGAAACAGCCTTGTCTATGCCAACATGTATTTCAAAAGCAAAGACAACTAGGATAGCTACTAGGGGAAGGTACACTGGGCTTAGTTGTTTGAAACAATGGGATCTTGAAAATCAATAGCATACTCAATTACCCAGGGTTAAGCTTTAGTGGAAAGACAAATTGGGCTGTAAAGGTAATACAGCTGCTCTGTGCCCATACAGTTCTGCAAGCATCATTATGTTAGCGTTCCTGAAGTCTAGAACCAATGGTGAATAAATGAAATTAAAAGGCAACATTTAAAAATCTGTATAAGAAGGGTTCTTTTACATGTATGCAGCATGATGAAATTGTGAAATTCTCTGCTACAATGCAAGACTTAAGGGCAAAGTTTCACAAAGTCAGAAAGGGATTAAAGATAGGTGTGGTTAATGAGACCATCAGTGGTACACTGAATAGGACAAAGAAAATCAAGTACTGTAAACATGCCTACTGAACTGAGGGAGCTGTAAGAAACTTCCACCAAAGGTTTAGGTTATCCCATATGAAGTTTCCTGCATTAACTTCTAAAATGTCTGTGTCTCTACTTCTACTGTTACAATTTCAATAGTACACCTTTTTGTTGTTCAGAATGCACAGTTTGGAGGCAATTTCGCTTGCAAACCTGTTTGACCTGTAGGGTGCAATAAATTGTATTGAAAAAGGCAGTGTTAGACAGGATTTCAGATAAGATACCTGGCTAACTAGACATTTTTCTAATCTGACACAGTACAAGTTCCTAGTTGTTCCATTTTAACACAGTCTAGCGTTAATTTTCTAAGTTTTTCTATATAATTTCTGAATCCAAGCAACTACCTCAGAAAAAGAGAAGTCCAGTCCTTTTGTTTCAAAATCATCAGTAACAGACAAGTTGTAAACACAAAATAATTGGTTTCAGCTCTGAGTCTTTTGTTAACACTGTAAATCTGATCTCCCAGTAGTTTCTGAATTGTTATCGACTACTGCATAATTTCAGGTTGCCCTTAAGAGGAAAAAGAAAGGGATGTATGTTTACCTGGGAACGGGTAAATCGCTTAAATAATAATAATAAAACCAAATATGTAAGGAAGGATAGGACAAATCAAAAATGGGTAATGAGAAGTGACAAAGAATTAGTATACTGTGGAGGGTTTTTTAATTGCATACAGTGTGTGTGCACTTGCACACACTTGCACAAACACATATCTATGGGTCTGTATATACTCGCTGTATAGCTTGTAGTGCAGTTGATTATAAAGAATACAAAAGACATTCTGTTGTAAACTTTAAAGAATATTTAATAACTTTTAAAAAATAAAATGTATATTTTAAATTTTGTTCTTTATATGAATGCACAAAAATGTATCACTGTAATTGCAGCAACAAAATCCAAAGAACTGAGAAGACTTGCCCACCGTGGTAAGATACCAGTGACAAGTTAGGAAAATTCACAATGGAATCCAAACAAATTTCCCATGGCAGGTCCCGACTTGTTTTCTAGCTGTGAATTGTCTAACTCAGTATCTATGAAGATCATTCACACTTAGCAAATCCTTGCTGACTAAGCAAATAAAGAGTCTAGTTTTAAAATAATCACCACAATCAACAGCTGATTCCTCTTGCTTACCTTTGGTGCCACATTCATAGCACAACAATGAAGCAAAGGGGTAAGTGAAAGGCTGCAACTTTGAGGGCACGTGGCTCTGGGCTGCCTCTTACCACGTTCACAGGGTAGGACAGGAGGTTGTGGACATGGACAAAGTGTAACCAGTTTGTGAGAAGAGAGAGGCGTTTCAGTGGATTTGCAAAGCAACCCTACTGCTGATGCAAGACAAAACATTTTACAGATTCTGTGCAGTTCCTTCCTCTCCATATTATAAATCCTACGATGCTGCAGTTAAATGCTAATTATTTAATGAAAGAATAAACCTTTATGAGTTTATATGATCTGAGGGGGAGAACCAAAGAAGTATTCACAGAACAGAAACGGGACTGAATTGCAGTGATTGTGCATTGTATGATGTGGAGCTAAGTAATTCTGTTGTACAAGTAATAAGATTTGGCTGCTAGTGGCAGTACAGGAAAATAAACCATATTCTACTAAATATATATATGTATATATTTCATTACAATTGTGCTGATGAAAAGCCAAAAGTATATTGGACTGAATCTAAAAAGCTAAATCCTGATGTTGCTGAATTCAGTAGGTGCAGCCATATGCCCTATGCCTTCACATCTTGTTATTAAGCAGAAAGAGCAATGAGAATAAATTAGAAGTGCTCCTTTATTGCCTTTGGTTCTGTCTTTAATGTAAATGTATTTAATCCTCCTTTATGTCTAAAGATAAGAAGTCAAAATTATATAAAAGTCTTTACTAAAAGTAACAAGACACTAATAGAAGCAATTGGAATGACTTCTGTGTTGCTCTGCATACATACAATATCAGCAGCCTTTTAAATGGATATGATATACTACAGGTTACTTATTTATAATCAACCAGTTTAACTTGAAGTTTTATGCGTAATATGGAACTATCATTTTTTTTTATTTTTTAAAAAGATTGTTGCTGTTACATATCACAAAAATCTTCTGACTTCGTCACCAGAGAAGGATGCAATGCTCTTCAAAAGAAAATATGGTAAGTCTGAGGCTTGTAATATGCTCAGAGATTTGTATGTTCAGAGGTTTGAAATTGGATTGTGCTGGTAATGCTGTAAGCACCGTAACATCTGTTTGGCCCGTGTGAAGAGAGTTAATAACATCAATATAGAAAACAGTCCAGTCAGAATTATAAATCAGTTGCAATAGCATCTCAGTTGGTAGTGTAAGGATAGTATTTAAAAAAGAATTATTAGCAGCAATGTGACCTGGTTTTTTTTTGTTTGGTTGGGGCTTTTTTGTTTGTTTGTTTTTCCTCTAACTATATCTTTTTGTTGCAGTGACTGGGATTTACAAAAGGAGTGTTACTTAAACTCCCTATAAATACTTGTTTTCGAAAACCAAGGCAGTTTATGTTACTGTAAAGACACCTAAACTGTGGAAAATGATTAGAGGGAACCACAAAATGTGACTTGTTTTCAGTCTCTATTTCTCATATTTTCTTTCCACTATAGGATTAGCTGAAGTGTAACAGTGTTCTCTAAGAGCTCAGCACGTATTACTGGGAGACTCACAGGATAAGGGTCTGTGATCTCTCTTTTGCCTACACCACCATCAAGCAAATTGATGAGTAGCTCTCTGTGGGAGTTCTGCTGCACAATGGTTTGCTCTTATCAACTGAAGCATCATCAGCCTGCTGTCTCTGTGTTAATTTTTAATGGCAGGGATCACTACAAATAGACTTCTCTACCTTTTATCTATCTTTAAAAAAATCAATGTTTTATTAATGTATTCACCACTCTGTTATGCTGCTTTTCAGTGGTGGAAACTCTGAGCTGTCAGCAGGGGCACCTCTGTGTACAAACTATAAACCACGGCAAGAACTAATGGTACATCTAACCTGGAATTACATCTATGCAAGTAAGAAAGGAAAAGAGTGGAGAGAGGGAAGGAACGAAGAGCAGGACTGTTTGCAGGTGAGCCTGACTCAGGAAGCAGAGAGCATTGAGACTGTGGTGATTGTAACACCAAGAGTAAGCCTCTTGCTTGGAGTACAGGCACCTCTGTGTGGGCTGTTCACTCAGCTTGGAGCAAGGTATGCTAACATTTGTCAAGGCTTGTTAGCGTGACAGTAAAATCCATTAGTGGTGGTGAGGTTGCTGTGATAGAGAGTGATCGAGAAGCCACATAAAATGCACACAAGTAATACATTACTTTCAACTTAGCCTGCACAGCTGAATGTCCCCTGGGGGTAAGATTTTGGAAGATACTTGCTCTTTTACACATCAGACTCTCCTAAGCATTTCCTGGGAAACCATGGAGTAGTTCAGTAGTTCTTGCCTGAGAGTAAGAAGGCTACAGGAAACCAGCAAAGAGACAAAAAAACCCAAGAGCTAAGGAGTGAGAGTGAATCTGTCAATAGTGCAGGTTCAGAAAAGGATTAGTTATGTGTGTGAAGGAGATTGTTCAATAGGCTGTGGGTTGGCAAGTCCAGCTTTATGCTGGAAATTGCCTTTAAATCAAAGCACACAAAATGTCATTTGTAGCTGAGACCTGCTGTTGTAAGCTGGCTAACTTTTTGTGTGAGCTTGATGCATGCTTCCAGTCTGTCACAGTAAGGATGGCTGCATTGACCTTTCCGGGAAAACAGCTTCATGGCTGTCTCTCTCATCTAACCATCAGTGGCTGAGAGATCCTCCAAGGCTGGCTGCAGTTAGCAGGCCATCTGCATTGCTCTGTTTGCCTGTTCCCTGCTGTGTCCTTTCCCAGCTTCTCCCTGTCACATCTGCATTATCTGGGGCTACTTGCTGGTGGGGAATTATTTGTTTGAACAATAGGATACATCTGATTCTTAACCTCATTGCTAGAAGGTGTGCACAGGAGGGTACTACAGAAATTACTTTAGTTATCAATGAGTGGAGAAATCGGACAGTAAGTGGCTGTTCCCTGGCTAAGGAAAGTTACGGTTTTGATTCCTGCATATTCCTGCGATTCTATGATATTTCAGAAAGTGTGGGCTATATTCTGCCAACAGCTAGGCAAAGGAAGATGCATGTGAAAAGGAGTACTGAGAGGTGACTCCAGTTCTAAGAGAGACTGATGTGTCTTGGCTGTTGTCAGCGTGCAGCTGGGAGAAAAAAAAGCTAAGCATAAAAGCATCTGAAGTCTTAATAACTCTCAGACAAATGGGCAATGCGCAAAAGATTTTTCCTCAGCAAGACAAACTCTATCATACCTGCAGATGATGATATCCCAAAGTAAATTAATGAAATGGTGACATTCAGGGAAGGAACAGCTGACAGCTTTGTACACATCTTCAAGTGAGGAAATGAGTGATATTTTTTGGCAGACTAACTTGAAACAGGAATGATAAAAAATAAAGCCATAGTAGACTGACAGAGAGAGCCCACTCACAAGTTGTTTACTGAAATGAAGATACAGCTGAAAGTAATTACTTGTTTCCCAGAGGTATAAGTGATAGTGCCTTGTACAAGAAATAATACTTGGTTATTTCAGTTGGAATGTAAAATAGGATAGAAAGGTTTCCTCTTTCTGAGGTTAGATGCTGGGTATTTTCACTTCCTTTCAGAAAAGTATGTGTTAATGAATGTAATATACGTAACATATGCAATCAACCATCTATTGCCACTGGCGATTGGTAAGTGAGGCAACGTCCAATATTGTTTTCCATTAACAGCCAGATCTCACTGTACAGATTCTGATTAAAAGCCTGACTTTGCGGCGCATAAGATTAAAAATACTCCTTTAAAACAACATATTTCTGAAGATGATCCTTTCCGGCTACAAAATCATTTTGAGACACTTGGAGGCAGGGCTGCTTGATCTTGACATTTTAGCTGTGGGCAAACTGTAGTAAAATTACAATTGCATTCAGTGCTAGCTACTCTGTACCTTCTTGCTGAAGAATACGCATTTTCTACTTCCTCTCTTCCGGACTGTGAAATGCGGGAAGGAAACCTGGCAGGTTTCTCAGAGGTTGCCTCAGTGCAATCTTTTCCTAACATTGGTTTGCAGATCAGCCTCCTGTAAGCAACCTCCTTTGTCTTGCCATAGGCCATGGAAAACGAAACATTGCTCTTTGGAGGTTTTCCTCTGTTTAAAGACAAGGCTGCTTCTTACCTGTGCCAGTTCAAGCACTGACTTTTTCTTTTCTTCCTCCTTCAGTGAAGTGGGGTGATTCACAAAATCTTCAGAAAGATAGCATTATACACAGTTTATAGTACAAAGAGGGGGGGGAAGGTCAGATGAATGAGCATGAAGGAGATTTCTCCTGTGTCCTTTGGAGGAGGAGCAGAAAGACTGGGAAATGGTATCTATGCACAGTAGGTATCTGCCTTGACTACCTGACAATACATGGTCATTGCAAAGGTGAGTCCGAGTATCTAAGAGAAAAAAACAAAAACCAATCATTTTTCAGTAAGTAAAAAAACCCTATTTATTGAAACAACAAGAAAAAGCATGGCACTAGTTTTATTCACACACAGGAAGACACATCACATACTGCTTTTCCTGCCCATTCATGCCCTTGTTCTGTTCCTAATGTTTGTCTGCCTTTTGTGCTTATCTGTGTTACTGTTTCACAGAATAAACAATGAGAGCAGGGGAGAGTTGGTTTCTCTATGAAGAGCAGCCACAAGATACCGGGAAGAGGTATATTGGAAAAAAAAAAGTTTGGATATCTTTTGCTTGAAAATATTTTATAGTAGCAACCCACAGCTCTGGGGCTCTGTGAGTACTTCTGTAGCTGTTGCTTTGAAAGACATCAGGTTCATCCCTGACCCTAAGGATGCTGTGGTTTACTTTATTGCACTTTACCTTTCCAGGTCTATGTGTGCACAAGTCCCTGTGGGGGAATCACTGGAGACTGAAAATGCATTAATCATGGCCATCAATGCCTCATCAACAATGTATGTGTCTTTCTACTCAGCCTATTCAAGAGAAGCAGCAGGGAGGTCGTGGCTCTTCTCCCAGCCAACTACTGACCTGCTGTGCTGCCTCTGTAGATTACTTCATCAGAAAAGGGGATGGGGAAGAGAATCTTATCTTCCTTCCAGCTAAAGTACTTATATGAATGTACTAAGTGGTTGTTATTTTCCCTTTGCAACACCACTGTAAGAATTGTCATTGAAATGAAGGTCTGCCAAGTAGAAATTTTTAGGGTATGGATTCTATTTTAAGCACTTAATATGACCACTTCAAATTTAGTGTTTACATCAGTAGTAGTTTCTGTTAATGAATACTTTGAAAGAGTATATGAATACACACACTATTCTACTTATGAAGAAAAAAATGGTTATAAAGTTGTTAATCTTCTTCAAGTCTCAGTCTTCCACAGTGAGAGAAGACTGTTAGGTTTTAGGGTGCTGTTTTACAGTAAGCACTTGCCATTTGGAAGTATCCCCTGAATGCTGCCTTCTGCTTCCTAGCATAGGAATACCTTTGGGGACAGCTGCATAATAAAACCGTGGTGGCTGAATTTGTTTTGTAATTTGGAGGACGCACAATGAAGATTCTTCTGTCACATGGGCTATATGTCCTTCAAGTTGTGCCACTGTATGATTCTAACTATAAAATTCTTAACATGAAAAACAAAAGCTGTCGCACGCTTAGGGCCAGAACAACATTGAAACAGAAACAACAGAGGGAGCCCAAATCATTTTAGGTGACAGTGCATCAAAACTTTTGTCATCAGTTAGATTCAATCACATAGTGCAGCTGGAAGACAGACTGAAAATCTTTTGTGTTCTGAGGGGTTTTCTCTGCATTGCACAGCATTCACTAGGAATACGAATTCGCATTTTTCAATTGTCTGAAGTGTTTTCTTCCACGCAAACTAGTAATGTCTTTCTGTCAGAAAGATAGCATTGTCTTAGAACTTGATTATATTTAGGGTATTTATGAGAAGGACTCTGACATGGGCTGGTGGAGTTATTTTAGTGTATCTTTTAAAGACCCCCTAAATGCTGCACAGATGCTCAAAAGGTGGGTGGTTTTTTGGTTTTGTTTTTTTTTAAAGTATGGTAATATATTAACAATAGTCTTAAATTGTCTGTCTGCCGTATGATCTGGTTGAGCTTTTTTCCTAAGCATATCTGCTCACAACAGTGGAATAAAAACCAAAACTCTACTGAATTTGGGCCTGTGAGGCATCAGGCATTTGCATTAATAAGTTGCAGCCAATACATGACATATGAGATAGTAAGATGCATGCCATTCTGCCTAATCTGACATTAGTGGGAATGTGAGTAGAATTCTGATCCCAGGCTCGCTCTTCCTGCTGCTAGTGGCATACCAGGCAAAATTAACAAAAAAACAAACAAACAAAAATCCCAACAACCACAGGTTAATCTGCAGTTACATGGTGTTAATTAGCTCAGCAATGCCATCCTTTCTGCTTATATCTTGAGGGTGAGAGAGAGAGGGAGCTGGAAACTGAGATTTTCACTGCATTTAGGAATGGGACTTCGGGCCATGAATGGAGGGCTGACATACAGCTGAATCTTATACCTATTTTAAATAAATTAAAACAAAAAGGACTTAAATCTTGCAGAATTTTACCATCGTGCAAAATTATTTAAACCAGCATGAGCAGAGTATATCTGGATCTATGATTACTTAGTTACAATTAGTTAGGATTTGAAAATTGATATTAAACTGTACCTGCACCATAGCTGTGCACAATCCAAAGATTCCCACTGCTAATAAGTTTTCCTGGAGCCATATTTTCACAGTTTCATAGCAAGGCTAGAAAAAAAAATCCACATAATATCATATTAGCCATAAACACACAGCTCTATTCCCCTGGGAATATACAGCCAGAGAAGAATCAGATCTGACTAAGGTGCTATGTAGCCTGGATTATAATTTCAGCACTGGAGCAAGTACAGTGTATTTTTGGGTTGAAGCTTGAACATGGAGTACTAATTTTAGTGACAAAAAAATGTGCACCTTCAAAATGCTGCATGAGCACTGCTCCATATAACCTTTTAACAGTAGTTTTAACTACTGTGCTGGTTTTGGCTGGGGTAGACTTAATTTTCTTCACAGTGGTTATGGGGCTGTGTTTTGGATTTGTGCTGAACACAAGGTAGATAATATAGAGATATCTTTGTTATTGCTGAGCAGGGCTTACCCAGAGCCAAGGCCTTTTCTGCTTCTTGTACTCCCACACTGGCAAGGGAGTTGGGGCTACATGGGAGGTTGGGAGGGGACACAGCCGGGCCAGGTGACCCAAAGGGACCAAAGGATTTCATATCATGTCACATCACGCTCAGCATATAAAGAGGGGGGAAAAGAGGACAAAGAGGAGGATGTTTGGAATGATGGCATTTGCCTTCCCAAGTCAAGGGTACGTGTGGATGGAGCCCTGCTCTCCTGAGGATGGCTGGACACCTGCCTGCCCATGGGAAGTGGTGAATGAATTCCTTGTTTTGCTTTGTTTAAACACATGGCTTTTGCTGTCCCTATTGAATTGTTCTTATCTTAACCCACTCTTTTCTCACTTTTACTCTTCTGATTCTTCCCTTGATCCCACTGCTGGAGGAGTGAGCGAGCAGCTGCGTGGTGCTTAGTACAAGGCTGGGGTTAAACCATGACAAATAAACAAACTGGATTTGAGTCCTCTTTGCCCGCTAAAACCCAACCAGAAGCAGTTAGAACTTTGGAATGAGGCTTTCATTTTCTCTATGTTTCAGGGAAACAAACACTTCTTCTAATACCTACATATATATGAAACCCAAAAGTCCCAGTGAGAGTGGCTCAGTAGCCACTCCTGCTGCACATGGACCCATTTCATAACATTTTCCATCATTTCAATTTGCAGTATAGGCACTCCTCCATTATTTTTTTCCTGCTTTAAATTCTGCAATAGCTGTAACTCCATGTTGCTGATCCAGTTTTGGGTGGAATTGGCCCAAGTGAAACCTTTCTTTAAATAATAAATAGTGTCTGTAAGACAACCTTGTGCAAAAACAGTGCCTGCTGTCTTGTAAATGTTCAGGCCAAGAATCATTCAGCTTTCAGTTTGTGGCTTTCACATATGTATAAAGGAAAAACTATTAATGCCCACCAGAAGACACAGTGTTAACCTGCACTGATCTTCTTGGGACCACAAATAAAAAAGAAGAAGAACATTTAAGCCCTTAAATTAAAAAACTGACTTGGGGCTACTTGAGAAGTATAAGGAAGACATGTTTGATGTGAACTCAGCCTCTGCCAGTGCCAATCCATGTGTATGAAATTTTGCTAGAAAGTGGCCAAGAGAGCTTTAGTCATTGTCTTCACAAACCATTAGAACCAGCAAAACTTACTTATAATTCCACTTCATAAGATGGCCTTACTCCACACTCCTCCTGCATAATTGCAATACCTGTAATTAGCACAAAGAATTGCTGAGCTAATTTCAGAGAAGAATTTAGGCTCTGATGATCTGTTCCGGAAAGATCTTGCTGAGGCCATTGTAGGGAAATTATCCCACGGAGTTTTGAATTTGATTACAGGCAAGTGCAAAAACTCACTGAAAAAAAATGCTGCTGGCAATTCAGCGGAACAGTTCCCACTTTCCTACTGTGCAGTGGAAGCCCCTGAGCCAGAGTTCCTGGTTGGAGCAGAGCACTGTATGCTCACAGTCCTCCTGCCTGAGGAGTGCCTGGGCTATGATAAGCTATGGCTGCTGCTCCAGGGCCTGTGTGTATGAGCCATTTGCTTTTATTGCTACCTGACTCCAGTAGGTGGGACATTAAAAAGGACATTCCTGTCATTTCCTAGCTAGTTGTAGCTAGACCATGCTGCGTATCAGTGTTGGAATGTACTTGTCTGCTATGTGAAATAACAGCTTAGAGCTTACTGAAAGGAAACCCTTCAGCTCCTAAAAATAATTAAATAGGAAGTTTCACTGGAGGTCAAAGGCCACAGCTCAACATGAGCCTTCTGGAACCACCTGATTAAAGATCAGTATACCTTATCATCTGTATAGCCCTGCAGATGACTACCTGCCTGCCCTTCACCTGGGCTGCAAGACAGCTGCTGAGATGGTGCTGGAGAGCTACTCACCGCTTTCCACCAGGTCCCTGGGGAATGAAGTCCACAATTCTCACTGAATTCTAAGCAGCAGGAGTCTGGCACCCGGGTTGTGTTGTACACTTCAAACCAGTCAGTGTAGTTGGAGACTCCACAGCACCTGAACTGGAAAAAGATGAACCGAGGCGATACTGTAAGTACGACCTGTCACTGACTTCTGCTTGTTCTGACTTCTGCCTTCTGGAGCTGGACACTCACTGCATCTTGATTATACCAGCAGAGGCTTGAAGTTTTAAAGAAATGCAGTACTTCCTCAGTGTTACCCAAATGGACCCTTTTCTCCGTTCTTATATTATGTTTAAATATGGTCTTGTATGTTGATGGTGAAGCAAGAAGCAAAGGCACCCATCTGCAGCGGGAGGACACTGCAGGAGCCGAAATCAGACAACCTTAGCCGAGTACTGAGATTAAGGATATGTGACTGAGCAGAATTATAACAAGTTGTTTACAGCTTCTTGTCTGTAAAAAAGATATAGATACAGCACCCAAGAGATGAAGATACTGGGATCTCTATGGCACACTACTTCAAGAATCACGATTGAAGTTAACAAGGCAAATTTCTCGCTAAGCTCTTAATTACTAATCACCTTTGAAAGTCTTTGCCAGTCAGTAAAAGATGTATTTCCTCCTCGTCTCTCTATGGTGCAGTTTCTTAATGTCATCATCTGATGCTGCTAAATAGTGGTGCTTTAAGTGTCTGCATATGAGGACACAAAGATTACAGTAGTGCTAAATCGGAAGGTTTGTTCCACTTTGGTAGCGGGAAGAAAGGTATAGGAAACATACATAATGGTACAGGGAATGACTCTGTAATCATCTTCCCTCTCTGGGAACTGGGATATTCCTGTGATACAAAATAAGCTAAGACATTACCATATAGATGTATACACCATCTGTTGCCTCTATGCTAACTCAAAAGTATGAATTTGTTGGTATTTAGACACTTTAGCACTAATGAGTAAAAAAAGACAACACTGGGCTGCAGAACCACTCTCTGCTATTGGCAGTACCTCACACTTTTTCAGGGCTAAGCCAGCCACCCACTTAGCCTCAAAATGACTTGCTGAGATCTTATTCTTTAAATGTGATCCTATATAATCCTGTACAGTATCTTTTGCATCCCTACAGAGACCACTCCTCTTGTCTGTGATAGACCCATAATCATGCAGACATCTGCACCACCAGGACCAAGGACCTAATTCAGATCCTGAGAAAGAGTTTTCCCTTGATATGTAATAGTTGTGGAGTTCAGGCTGTAGGTAGAGTTGTAGCGTTCAGGTCTTGTTGCACACACAATATCTGCCATTCAAGACCCATAGAGGGCAGAGGTGTCACGCGCTGCCTCATGCATCATATGATGCTTCAAGTACTCACAAAAAGTACTCCTTGATAGAGACGTTTCAGTGCTCACAGCAGAGTTTTTCTTCTGCCAAGAAAAAGTCAGAAAACTTTCCCGGACTAACATCTATTCCCAAAAGGTTCTGCTCCAAATTTTGATTTGGTCTGTGGTAGGAATCAATCCTTAGCTTGCAACTGTTTGATTTGTGAGTTTACAGGCTTCATTTTCTATAAACTGACGTGAAAGTAAAAAGAAAGTTTGTGGCTTTCTTTTTTCCCCTCTATGTTCCTGCACAGAAAACAGGAGGTCCATGAGTAACAGGTCCCAAAAAACGAATAGGAGCAGCATGGAACACATGGTATGCATTTGAAGAAAGCTGGTTTATTTGGAAATCTAACAAGAAGAAGGTCTTGCAGGCTGTCATCATTAGAGTCAGAAGGCAGCTCTTTGACAGACAGTGAGAAGTGACAGCTTGTAAACAGCAAGCCTTAAAAATGTGGCTCATCTGTGATGTAGAGAGTGCAGCAGTAATGGCTGAGACATTTGAGTGATGTTCTGGCCAAACACAAGTGACACAAGTTTGCATAAATCAGGACTAGACCCCTTCTCTCCGTAATATTGCATGGCTAAGGGTGTCAAAGTCTGACAGGCTAAGGAGATGGAGATGAAGTACGGATTTTGTAGTTAAGTGCTCACTAACAGGTTGAGGACAGCTGATCCTATGGAGCTTGTGAAGCAGGAGGTGCCTAGGCCATCAGATAGGGTTGGGGCTCCAAAGAGTAAAAATTCCTGGTAAACCAGAAGGTGAAAATAGGAGGGGATGCAGTTTCAAAGACAAGCTGCAGCTGGACACAAACTGCCTGCCCACACAGGTTCTCCGTGTACTATACAAGAGCAGAGCAGACACGGCAGACCCAGCAATAGGAGAAAGGGCTAAGGAAAGATCGAGGACATAGCAGAGGATCAACAGTCTTAGGATTGGAAAAAAATAGTCTGGAACTGTAACGGGAAGAAATATCTTTGGAAGGCAAAGGAATTATAAGCTTTAAGCAGTAGACGATCCACAGTCCTAAAGGAGAGGAGATGACGATCACAGAAGAGAACTAACACCACCGAGACCAGAAAGCACCAGCAAGTGAGCCAGCACTGCTCAATGAAGGCCAAGTTCAGTGACCGGCACTTGTAGGGGGCAGAGGCACGGATCCATGGCAGTAGGTCAATGACACAAGAACAAGGAAATGAGGCACAGTGGGATTGAATGGGACACCAGTACAGATTCAGCGAAGGGGTCCAGCTAGAAGCCAAAAAGACAGATAAGCTGAGAGCTCAGTAAACTCAGAGACTTCATTAAGGATGTCCAAGTAGAAAAGAGTATGGGAGTGATTTTGGATCATGTGACAGGCGACCTGATTTATCCCAGGTTCACGAAGCTGAAGAGTAAGTAGCCAAATTGTTGAGGGACTATGAAAAGAAAGGGGAATATTGAGGACAAAGAGCAAAATATGAGGACTTCTTTAGAGTCCTTTTAGATTTGAGAGCAACGTTCTCTTTTGAAAATTTACAAGGTTTCTGAGCAAGGACAGTTGGAGCCAGTCCTACAACTTGGAGGATGGAGAAAGCTCAGGTCACATGAAGGATAATTTCTGTCACCAGCAGTTTGTTGTAGCCAGTCATGAAGCAATTGAAGACTTGATTCTTTCTACAACCACATTCATTTTTTGATCACATTTACAATCCTGGCTTGTTCCCTTTACTAGTTAAGTGATAAAAATTAGACAAGGTTGCCTAATTGATTAGTTCTGTTCCTAGTTTCACCAGGGAACAATACACTCATGTTTTTTAGAAACAATTAGAAACTACTTGTGCTTATTTTTGGGTACCCAGACAAACACACTTTAAAAGAGGATAATCCATTAAAAATGTTATCTGTTGTCTCAAATAGCATAACTTTAAGACACCTTGACTTGGACACCCCAGGTCACTCGATTCTAGGGCTCACAGCTGTGCAAGACCATACAGTGTGACAGGCAGTTGTGCTGCTCCATGAACAAATGTAGGTACTTATGGCATAAGGCGACAATGAGGTAGTAGTTCTGAGGATGTTCATACAGTGTTTGGCAGAGTTGCTCAAACAAGCCAAAGCTTGTCAAATGCCTATGAGTATCTGAGCTCCACCTGCTGAACAGTGTTTCCAGGAATAATGATAATATGCTGCAGTTTGTTTCGGATGTTTCATGTGGGAGGCTTTCTCTCTCCTGAGATGTCAAACCAGATCTTTTCCCCCCCCTTTGTTGTACAGACATAAATCACTCCCTTACTGATTATCTGTGGGGTTCTGAAGTGGCTCATAGGTTTCCAAAAGCTCAGGACATGCAGGGGATGTTCAACACAATGATGCAGTCGAAGGTGATGGTGCTGAGGTGCTTTTCCCAGCCAAGCAGCACCAAACAGCACTGAGGTCTCTCTGTTGTACTTATTGGATGCAAAGCTGCTTGCAAATAGCATATGTTTTATTTTAACAAGTAACTGCTGCTCTAGCATGGGGTATCTAGAGCTGGTAATCAACGTTAAACAGAAAGTTTCTATCTTAGTGCAACAGAAATGTTAAGGAGTTGGACACTTGTACATATTTTACAGGTAATCCAAATAGTGAAGGCTAAGTAGGCCTTATCTTTGGCAAATTCCTGTAAAATCAGTCAGGCTGGGTTCATGAAAATAAACAGACATTCAACTCTTATTGCAGACAGTTTGTTATCAATGCCTGGTTTTTCTGGTTTTGTGAATGTGACAAAGAACTAGAGACAGGGCAGGGTGCCTTTTATATGCTTTTTCATCCATCACTTAAAAAGTGGTGAATAATACAGTTTTGTTCTAAAACTCATGTTTAATGGGTGGTTTGGATTACTTCAGCAGTAATCCTAAAGTATAGCTTGATCTAACAGAATCAATAACTGGACAGAGGGAGATGGGTCAAATTTTCTTCTCAGTTACAGTGGTCTAAATAGACATGAAAGGACATTACACAGCAGCAAAAGTGAGCTGAATTTGGCTCACTTTAGTGAATCTAATAGGTTTTCTGCATGCCTCTCAAATTACTGCCTGGTTAGTTAAAAGGAGAAGTGTTCAAATATTGATCACAAAGATGTTGGGGATGAAGCAATGTTTTAAAAATTAATGCCTGTTTCTCATTTCCTAATGATCTCCACCTGTAACTCTAACCAGGTGGTGGGTAAGGAGTGTAGTGCAGTTCAGGGTAACTCACCTCCCAAACTGTTAGAATTTTAGTCATGTTTAAAAACTACTTTGTAAGCTTTTCTAGTCTTCAGTCACAACATGCAGAAGTCATCTGCTCGTGTTTCTGATCCTTTTAAAGTTTGAAATGCTATCGAGAAAGGCTGTGAGTTTCGTTAGCTGGAGGTATTAAAAAGAAATCAATAGAATGTTCTAATTTGAAACAGCTCCCTGACCTAGAGGCTTAATGTGACTGCAGAATGAGCCCACTGCTTTTCCTCTCACATTTTTTGCAGGTGTGCAGCTCAACCCAACTCCTTTATTGGCAATATGAACAGATCAGTCATGGGCCAAAACTGCAACTTCTTCTTTAAAGACAGACCAGACAGGCCCTGTTTTTCCTTTTTTCCAGTTACTTATGAATTGTATGCTTCTTTTAAAAAGAGGAAAACCATTTCTCAAGGCACAAAGCCTTCAGAGAATAAAGCCTTACTCAAAAGGTGCTCTGGCCTTTCACACTTGACAAAAAAATAGAGTAATCACCTCTCACAAGTCACTGTGTGAGCACTGGGTATCCACACTCCCAGTCAAAACTCCCCTCTGTTTTGTGACTGGGCAGCCTCACAGAAATCAAATGCCATCTAAATGTGGCTCTGTTCCTGGAAAACACTGTTTCCCCCTTCTTTAAGCAAAAGCTGCCATACACAGTCGTACCTAGAGAACTCAGGTGGGGTTGGTCTCTATCTGAGCAAGCCACAGGAGAAATGAAGAGCTCCAATGCCAGAGCTCCAGTCCCTCATGTCTGGGCTATTACTCTAACCACTGCTCAAACTCTGAAAAATACTTTTGCAAAGGAAGGAGTGCAAATGCAGAGGGGACAAGGGAGAAGGTCTCATTATGATTTCTGTTACTGTCATGTTTTTCACATGGCGTGCTTTTTTCCTGAGGCTGCTGTTTTCCATTCCCGTACAGACACAGCCCATAGCTCAACCAATGCCTGACGTCTACTGGTCCCATGAGGAAAGTCACTTCTGAGACACTGTCCTAATATGCACACGTGGTTAGCTCTACTGTGGGTTTTTTTGAGAGCCTTAGGAGACAAAATGCAAACAGCAAGCCTGGGCTGGGACTTTCCTTTCAGAAAATCCCCTGTATTGCCCTAATCCTCCTATCAGTGATTACACCCTACTGATTAGGAAGGTAAGAGATAATGATTATTACACAAAAAAAATCCCCTTGGCATTTAGATAGCACTGTTCAACTGCAAAGTGTTTTACATAATTAACCATGCTGGAATTGTCTTTGCTGCACCACTGCAATAGTCTATTCCTAAATAGTTTTGAAAGATACATGTGAAAACCAATTATGTAGAGCAGTAAAAATGGATCTATGGGAGCTCTTTGCTTTCCTCCTCAGTGCCCAGCACGGGGAGCACAGCAACTAACACTGTGGTAATTTCCTAGTGGCCCTGAGAGCATGATGCCCCATGGCTGTACACACCTTGTGAGATAGCACTTTGTTATCTTACGAGCTCCTAGGAGTTAGATAACATCAAACCCCAGCTTGTCACTGAACATGACCATTTCTTTTAAGCAAAAAACCCTGTCTTGCTCTTTAAGAAATCTACTGTCCTGCTGTACAATGGCATCCTACCACCCAATATGTCTATCTTGAGTTTTTAGCTCTTGGATCAATTACAGATCCCTTTTCTTTCAAAACCCTTTTCCCTTCCTGCTCTCTTTTAATGGACTGCAATCACATCACTACTTTATCTTTTTCTGGTTATATAAAATGGTTAAAATTTCTCACCATACTCTCCAAAATTCTCATTATTCTTTTACATATTTTCTGAATCCAATCCAACTTGTGAACATCTTGAAAAAATGTGACTAGGTGAACTAGACATAGCATATACTGTTGAACCTATTTTACAGAAAGGGGAACAGAAGTATGATGTTTATATCCCATGAGTCCTCCAAACAATGCTTCTTTCCCTACCTTTGCTATATGCTTTTAACAATTCTTGGGATGTCACTGAAACCTGATTAATATTTACTGCAAACATTTTAACATTAGTAATTTTTACTGCATTTTTACTAAGCATAGTTAAGTTACTGTAGAAGAGTAAAACTTCTAATACTCTTTGATATAAGCAACAGTATTTAAAATTTTATCTATATTTCACATGTCTTACTCTTGGGCTAACACCACAAAATGCATTTCTCTTGTCAGTAATTGATGCCTTCTCACATTTGAAGTACTGGAAAGAGAAAATAAGTATTGAAGGAGGAAAATATTAACAATATTGCAAGGTGCTGAGGCCTTTTAAAGGTAAGTGAAAGAACCTATTGTGTGCAGTTGTTAGAATGCAGGATTGGTACTGGCTTGCTTGCTGGACCTGAGATGTTTGTCTTTCACACACAGTACTGTTGCAGGCAACCTACTGCACTCAACACAGACAGCTCCTGCAGACCCAAAGATGCACATGGAGTTTGACCAACCAGTTCTTTTGTTCTGTTAGTAACTCCAATTTTTTAATTTCTCAGACCATTTCTTAGCAGCCTGCTGCTCCTGTCATCTTGTATCATACAGAAGAGTATTCCTGGGAGAGGTTACCGTCTTTGACCGACTCAAGGCATCAGAGGCAAGACTAAAACCCTCCTATCTGTACCACACTAGCACCTCTTGGGCAGAAATTGAGAAAGCTATGGAAGATTTTTTGAGTGAAACCAGGGCAGTGCAAATGCTTCTGCCTAAAGCAGAAAAAAACTTGGAGCACTTTTCCTCGTTCAAGAAGCAGAGAAAATGAAATCAGAAAGATCAACCCCAGGAGAACTGACTGAACTGAATATGCAACGAGAAGTACAGAGCTAATAAACCCAAACTGTCAGTGATGGTGTTTCCTCAGCAAGCCAGGCAAGGACAAAAGGAGGAAGCCAACTACAGTGTTCACCAGTCCTTACGAAACAAACACTGGCAGAGGGCTGTCAGAGAATCAGGACAATCAGAACAGCAAAAAGCATTCCCAGCCCATCTGTGATGGAGGGTGATTGAATTCTGCTGGGGAAAATGTACTGACTGTAGGAGGAGGTTGTAAACACAGTGGTCTGTTTCCATCTTGACTACACTAGTGGAAACAACAATAGCAGTGAAAGGAGACAGGACAGAAATGAAAAGGGGCTGAGGTTCTTTGCTATTATGCCATTGCTCTTCGCCACAACATAAACCATCCCTTTGACTTTAAAGAGAAGGTACTGCTTGTTTCCTGTCTGACCAGCTCCTTCACTCTCCACACAGCACAGAACCATATGATATTTAGGCATCAACATAAACTTTTAAAAGAAAGAAGCTATTCCTGGTCAAAGGAGAAATAAAAATTACCGTTCGTTACAAAAAGCAGAGAGTTTAGTTGCTAATGTGCTGACTGGGTGGGAGAAAGAGATTGGCTTGGGATTTGGAGGTTTAATTAGGTTCACACCCAGAACATGCTGTTATAGAACTCAGAGGGTAAAGAAGAAGAGAAAAAAAGAGAACTCAGACTTACATCTGTTTGAATGATGCTCCATGCATTAGTGAGGCCAATATTTCCATCTGTCCCATACAAATGAAGTCCTTTCTTCAGATCCCGCTGAGCATACTTGTCAATCTAAAACCAACAACAAAAGACACAAACCTCAGAATTTGCTGAGTACCACATTTCAGAATTAAAGTGCAGGGGGGTGTTGGACAACAGTCCTGTACTGAATAAGAAGTGAACCAACATTTCCTAACACCTTTCTCCAGTAGACTCAGTATTTAGTAGATGTACTTGCACTTTGTAAAGAACATAAGGAGTTCCTATTCTGAGTTTATGTTCATGTTTTCCATCATAGAGACCTTCCAAACATTTTTCCCTTCTCACTTAACCACCAAAGTACTATAGGGAGACTGGACACAGTTTAATCACTGGTTTTTGCGAATGAGGCCTATATATGAAAATGTTCACCTACACACAGCATTTCCTTTTAGCTTAATACCTTTAATTGTGACCAAGTACCCCTCAGCATCTTCCTTATGCTTCCTGGGAGAACAACACTGGCATTAACATTGTACTGACGCTCTGACTTGCGTTTATTCCATCAGCCAGAGTACCCCACTTCTTGCAGAAGGATGAACCTAATGATACTGAAGCAGCAGGTAATGAGCTATCTAAAATTCAGGACAGAGAGGATTTAAGAATTTAGTTACTAAACGGAACTGCTCTTTAATAAATGCATTTTTCTTGATTTAATCAAAGCACAAAGTTCTGCTTTTGAGGGTTTTGTAATTGAAGATGGTGCTTTCTTGTTGAGAGTCCCTGCTGGTAAAGTGGGCTATTGTTGGATTCACTGGTCACCAACAGGTAGTGTCCAAAATGATTGCAAGTGCTTCTCTCCTAGCCTAACCATACATACACATTTCTACAGAATCAAGCAAACAGAAACAAGGATGTAAATAATTAATGGATACTCATGGTTTAACCTGATTTTTCTGTTGTCAGTGAAAAACACTGACTAGTGCTGCTCAAATATGCCCGTACATTCCCCCTCCCCTGGGTGCCTGTCAATGTTAGTGTCTGTTAGACATCCAAGGTATAGCAAGAAGGGTGAGCAGACCTGTCCCATTTCTTCTCCATCAATGTGCTATAAATCTGACTGCAAAATACAGTGCCATCCTGAGATCATCCTGCTGCAATAACGAAAACTACAATTAAAGTCACAACTTGTTTCATGGGGACAGTCTGTTTTAATACATACTCTCTCCCATACTGTAAAACAGACTGATGTGGTGTATTCTCTAGTCATTGCCCCTCTGACACTTGTCATTTCACCTGGGGGGAGGAGAGTGGGGAGTGTCTAAAATGAAGTAACCGATGCTAATTTTGAGTTAACACAGGGAACAAAGGTATTCTTCTGCCATACACTTGGACTTCTCTTCTGCTTTGTGCAGTCAGGATTGTCTTCAAAAGCACCTGGAAAAAAGGTGGATGCAAAGCATCTTGCACAGTGTAAAAGAGGAATTTTCAACCCACTACATCATAATTATTATGGGGTAAATTAAAATCACTCAACAGTATGACTCCGCAAAAAATTATGACCTCAAAAGTTCATCATGTCTATCTCTGCTGTATGTGCAAAAGGTTTTGCTTGATCTCTCCACTTCTTTTGTTTCCTTCCCAAAAGTTTACCACCATCATGCTGAGCCACTAATAAAATAGCTTTGAGGCAGTACAAGAAAGATGTACAACTTAATCTCAGCGCCTTAACTATCACACAAGGACTTTCTCATCGGTGACTCCCTTAAACAGTAGGTGCTGTGATCCCACTGTAATTATCATGTAAGCTGCTTTTGGCTTTACACAGAGATTATACATAGTCACTGGTACGTTAATTAGAAGAGAAAACCAAAGCTGAGAGCTGTCATTAAATTTGAAATTAGTTGAGAAAATTACAGGCAACAGATGATAAACTTACATGTGTTGGGAATTCCTAGCATTCATTTAAGAATTAGATTGAACTGGGTTTTAGCTCTTCACTTACCCTCAGCTCCATGTGTCTCAACTGGATCTGCTGTGGTCTCCAGCAGAGAGATCAGTTAGGACTGAAGGGTGTGGTTGTGATGCTAGTGTCAAAGAGGCTTTGAAATTTAGTTAATGTCCTACAGAGGAAGTAAGGTGAATTAATTGCTGAAAAACTAATTCTTATTCAGAAACAAACAGAGGTGAAGAGGAACAGTATAGCTGAGGGCAGGTGGGGACAGAAACCCAGCTAGGAGACCTGTTGTCTTGAAAGAGAAAGGTCTATTTTGAATATTAATTAATCACACCTGAGAATATCCGCCCTGTACAATGAGAGAGCTATGCACCAGCCTTAGGTTCATATCAGCACTGATCTGGAACATGGAAGAGAACAGTGATGCTTATCTGAAGGGCAAATGCATGTTACCAAAAGAATGCAAAATGCCAAATTTGCATTTCCTCACTCAAGTTTTGCTTTGCAAACAGTGCAGTGGCTCAGCATGATAATCCCTTCTACAAGGGCTCACACGCTACCCCTGTTAATGCAATGTTCATGTCCTATTTGAGATAGATAATAATAATAATAATAATAACTTATTTATTCCACATGTGCTTTAACGTGGTCGCTAGAGGTGTCCCCACCAAGCATTCCTGATCTTCCTTTCACCTGGACAAGCCTCACTAGCAAGCATTTTGCTGAGGCAACATAAAAGCAAGTTCTCTCTTACTCATAAAATTAACCACTTGTCCCTGCACAAAGAGTGCAAGACCTTCACACTGGGAACACAACTGGCAACAGGTTTCCATATTTCACAAACTGAGTAAACAGCAGAGCACTACTCAAGAAAACACACACTATGTGACCAGTTCTCCTGCTGCTATTTCAAAAAGCCTCAATGTCAAGTCCTGCACATTGTATGATCCATCAGTATTTACTGTTTTAAAAAGAAGGTGCCTGCTTGAATATTGTTTGGAAGAGGACGTAAGCTTTTTAGAATCCACACCCCTGTATATCTCATTTCCTTATCTCTCTCACCTCTACGTAGGTTGCAACTTTGAAAGAGGCAAACACATGTTATGAAACAGTATCTCTAGATTGTTTTACCTTTTTATTTCATGTCCACTATCATGGGAAGGTATCTGGAAATATCACACAGTTTTACACATATACACATAGAGAGAACTTTATATTTATTTGAGTGATTGTAAAGGTAGGATTTTTCATAGTTCTCATTTACTAAAGTTTCTAACTTACCTTCTGATCAGGTGTGCTGTGCATGAACCAGTGTGCTATTCTCTGAACAGCAGCTGATTTAAAATTTCTTTTTCACAGAGCTACTCCTTAAAGCATTCCCACTCTTTTGTTTGCTTACACTAGGGTCAGAAAGTTCTTCATCATCCCCTAGGAATAACCTTGTACAGAACAACTGAGGCTGTGGGTGGCCCTTTGGCTCCAGGAAAAAAGGGAAGCAGGCATTGACCCTTGGTCTCCCGGCCCTCGTGTCTGCAGCTGAGGTACTGGCATGAAGCCCCCACTGTCTGTCTCCCCTGTTTCTAGGCAGTTCTGTAGAGCCTTTTTTATTAATGTGTTACCTTGCATGAATTAATCAGTCCTGATGCACACGTAGCCTTGGATTTCCTAAGAGCTCAGACGATACCAAACAAGAGCCCTTCTCTCACTCACACTGTGAGGAGTCCAGTCTCTACGTGCAGTCCTATTAAAAGCACGTTGACCTCTGCTTGAATAACCTCTCTACAAGGTTATAAGATGGATATTTTTCCCCTAATTGAAGCACTGCTTGAAGCTCTAGACATATGATTCCAACTAGCTTTGACTAGAGAGGGGTAAGTAAAACAATGCCTATTTGTGGAGCACAGCTGGCAAGTGCTCCTCCAGGTCATCCTGATTCTTTCCAATCTCAATTTTATTTCTTTCTCAAAATATTTTTAGAACAGCAAAAACTTTTCAATATGCCTTTATTCTAATTGTATGTTTGATTTAAATGAAAACTCACAAAACATCCCTAGCTGCCTCTTCTGCCTTTAATTTGACTTTTTCAGGAAATGATCTTTCTGAAAATGAAATGCTGTACCACAGTGATTCATCACATCTCCTGACAAATAATCCCACCCAACATTCACCAATCTGCCAGCTTCTCTTGCCAGTCCTCAGCCAGGCAAAATGTCTATCTCAAAATAGGGACTATAAGTATTATATTTAATATTCTGCAATTTGAATCTGCTGTATTCTTCCAAAAACAAGCCAGGCCCTTCACAAACCACAACTCTAGTGAAGGAGTGCAATGAAGTGTAATAAAAATTCTCAGCAGGCAAACTGTTACTTTAAGTGAGGTACCTATTTTTAGACGTGGAATACCAGAGATTTCCTTAGACAAACAAGTTTCTGAAAGGTTTGGCAGCAAGAACCTTTTCTCAATCTGTTAGTGAAGAAGAGAAAAATTCTTTTCCTCCTTGGGATTCATTGGTCAACAGGTCAGATGTGAAAGCTTCAAGCTGACACCCCCACCCATGTAAATTCTTATGACTTCTGGGTTCAGACATATCAGAGCCTTGTTCATGCTTATCAGCCCCACCAGATTTTAGACAAATGTGTCCCAGTGTGAATCCACTACAACCCATGCCTTCAAGAGAACCACTAGAGCATATTACTAGCACTTTATCCAAGGTAAAATCCTGTTCCCACTGCAAAGAGCACCAATACTTTCTCATTGACTTCCATTAGCCCCTAACAGTACTCTCAAGTCTCTCACTGTCCAGTTACAAAGACTTTCTAAAAGCCATATACTGCTCTAAGGTGGACAAGTCATGTGCAGAGAGTTTCAGGCAATGAAGGAAACCCAGTATTTGAACTAGAGAAAAGAAAGTTACAAGAGATGTGGCAGAACTGGAGAGAACCTGCCACAGAGGTCAGGAAAAGTGGCTGGAAGCAGCTGATGCAGTGATGGAGAATGGGCAGGGATCTATCTGAGCCTCATCTAAACTACAGCTGTGACAAAACATCCCTTAAAAAAATCTTACTTAAGCCCGTATATAAATCCAGGCCAAATTAAAAAGTGTTTCCTTCTTAATCTGTATTCCCTTGAGACAGC